GCCTTATATGGTGTTTTTGGGGTGGTAATTATGCTAATCTCCTCTCACATGCACGAGCAGAACAGGTGGAATTTATGCAGCTCATTTACACACTTTTCCTGAAGATAGAAGAGTTTATTGAATCTGACGTGACATGTTCGTACGAACCCTTTGTACGAACAAAAGTAAGAGAAATTTAGGATAAGAATACGAACATGTTCTTGCATGAGGCCCAATGTGCCTGGTAAAGTAGCGTTTTTCAAATAACTGCTTTATAAATAATACATGACATAGTAATTTATTTAATTCAAAAGTCTTTCTAATACTAACCTTATATTTGTTCAGCACAATTCTTATTCTAAAGAAATATAATTTTTGAATAGTGAATAAAAGTGAGAGAAAACAGCTGTATATTTTGTAGCATTGTTTGAGGGTTTGCAAGAAGGTCCTTGGCCAGAACTAATCCTGTTTGGGGGGTCGTGGTATGAAAAAGTTTGTGAACTAGAATTTAATTACAGTCAGACAAAGCAGATTTTATGTTAAAATGACCTGCCATACATCTACAGACTGAGTGACTGAGCACGTGCCACTGTGCACATGCATTACCCAAGCGGAAGAAAGAGTAGTTCCCTCCAACCACATTTGATTTAGACACGATTTGAATAGTTGAGCTATTTTCCACAATTTTCCTGTTAATGTGAAAACATTATGTGAAATAAATGAAGTATCAAAGTATCGATATTTTGATTTTAGTATCGATTCTAGAACGTAAAGTTCTAGTATCGGTAGTATCGATATTTCAGTATCGATCTGCACATCACTACCAGTCAAGACCACAGCTGTGGAAGTATTAAATTGCCAGAATATTGTCCAGTTTATTTGTTTACATCTTTGCTTTCACTGGATGTAAAACGTACCGAGTCAAATCCTTTCTTTGCTAATTAATAATTAATATTATAAACATGATAAATTAACAGACGTGAGCTTCTATGATGATTTCTGACAAGTTTAATATTTAAAACATGTTGATGCAAATGATAAACTTTCCTTTTTTGTACCCCCAGATTTTTATTTAAAACTGTAATTTTTTCTCTTTTTTTCTCGCTTCATCCGCCATTATAAGCAAAACAAAAAAAAAAGATCTCCCATTCGGTCCACAATGTATCTTGGGATAGGTTGTAATCGGCTGACAAAATAAAGTAGGTGAGCAGCTTATGCTAATCGCTAGCTTCTCCTATGCTAATGTCAGGTTATCCATGCTAGTCGCTTGTGGTTGCCCGATCCGTCCCAGTAGCGGTTCTGTCAGCTCATTTGTGCATGTGTTGAATGATAGACTTCTGGAATGTGCTCGATTTAGGAAAAAACACTGAAAATAATCATTTCTATACTTAATTATAAAGGTGTGTTACATTATATTCTGAAAACAGTTTTAAGGTTGTATACATTTTGATTAATAAAATATGGTTCTACAATGCGTACACATTTATTTATAATAACTTGCTAACTATTTCTAGACAGTCATGTTATAGCTCATCTTATTTTCGTTTTATTTTCTTCCTGGAGTAAAAATCCACAGCTCTTGCAAACATTGCCTTTTCTAAGAAACACTGCAGGTGATGAAAGACTGAAATCCAATGAATTCTGTCATCAGTCTAGTGAGATGCTACATGCTAAACACAATGCTTCCTGGACAGCACGGATCGTGCTCCCAGTACGGATCGGGCAGCCACAATAGCTACATTTACATGGACGAAAGTAATCGGATTAAACGGCCATTCGGAATAAAAGTGTGTCATGTAAACAGCCCTTTCGGATTATTCTGATCCGATTGAGCTCGATCCGAATGAATTGTTAATCCGAATGAAAAGGGTGGGTTATGCCGATTGATAATTGGAATGACGTTCATGTAAACACTTAATCGGATCATCTTATTCTGATTGTAGAAAACTGACCTGTGTGCACATGTCTGCTGACTTTATTCACCCGGTGGGACAGCAGCGCTCCAGCTGCGCTGCACCGTGCAGAACTTTTCCTCCTCGCTCTCTTAGATGAAAAAGGAGGCAAACAGCAGACGTTGCTTCGCAAAAAATAAAAATAAAAACACGTATTGCTTCATCTGCAGGCTGCAGCTCAACAGAGGAGTAACGGCGTCTCTACCGTTATTAAAAGCTGACACAGGTCCATCCTGAGCGCACAGAGGAGCTTTGTTTACATTTGTAACACGGAAGTAGAGCTGAATGTTTACAACACTGCGCATGTCCGGACTTTTATTCTGAATAAAACTCCGGTATCATTAATCAGATCAATATCTGCCTTAAGAATAGATATAGCCTCTTGCTACAAGGATGTAGCAACTGCTGATTGTTCAATATTCTTAATTTTGGCCATCATGTCATGCCATATCATACATCCAGATCAATGTGAAAATGACGCACATGAGACAAGCCTCCGCTAAAAAAATCCAAAATGATATAAATACACCCTGCATGTGTGGTTCTCCTCTGACAACATGCCTATGTGCAGGGAAAAAAGTAATTTCACAGAAGGGAGTTGGAGACAATCCTAAATGAGGTGTTGAGGTGTAAAAAAAGGATCTGTTTGTGGTGCTGTCCTCTGGTATTAGTGCAGCGCTCAGGAGAAAGCAGGAGCAAAGGGCTGCAGCAGGTAAACATGGTGATAAAGAGAGGTGGCTGTTCTGCAAGTGTTCAAACCACAAGACAAATCCTCTTAAACTGAAACCAAATGGAAAAGTGTTTTTATCATCAGCATGCTGGTCTGAGAGCGCTCAGAGAGAACATTTCTGTGTTTGAACAGGAGTTTAGTGAACGCTTACCCAGCTGCCACCAACATGGAGCCTTTAAACAGCAGCTGTCACCAAACTGAAGTCCAGAAGAGTGACAATAACACAATTATTTTGTGTAATCGCCACAGAAAACACAATAAAACACCAGCGTGCACACAAAGTGTTGCTGCTTTAAGAGGTGTCAGGAAAAATGAAGGAGAATTTTAAAGATTGAATTTTGTTGACAGAAATCAGTTACCCATCCATCATCCATCCATCATCCATCCATCCATCATCCATCCATCCAATCATCCATCCATCCATCCATCCATTTGTCATCCATCCATTCATTCATCCATCCATCCATCCATCCATCCATTTGTCATCCATCCATTCATTCATCCATCCATCCTCCATCCATCCTCCATCCATCCATCCATCCATCCATCCATTTGTCATCCATCCAATCATCCATCTATCCATCCATCCATCCATCCATCCAACCATCCCTCCATACATCCATACATACATACATACATACATCATCCATCCATCCATCCTCCATCCATCCATCCATCCATCCATCCATCCTTCCATACATACATACATACATACATCATCCATCCATCCATCATCCATCCATCCATCCATCCATCCATCCATCCATTTATCCATCCATCCATCCATCCATCATCCATCCATCCACCACCATCCATCATCCATCTATCATCATCCATCCATCATCCATCCATCCATCTATCATCCATCCATCCATCCTTCCATACATACATACATACATCCAATGATCCATCCATCAGCCATCCTCCATCCATCTATCCATCCATCTATCCATCCATCCATCTAGTCATCCATCCATAAATCCAATCATCCATCCATCTATCCATCCATCCAATCAGCCATCCATCAATCATCCATCCATCCAATCATCCATCCATCCATCCATCCATCCATCCATCCATCTTATCATCCATCCATCAGTCCAATCATCCATCCATCCATCCATCCACCCATCCATCCTCCATCCATCCAATCATCCATCTATCCATCCAATCATCCATCCAACCAATCATCCATCCATCAATCATCCATCCATCCTATCATCCAACCATCCATCCAATCATCCATCCATCCATCCATCCATCCATCCATCCATCCATCCAATCATCCATCCATCCATCCATCATCCATCCATCCATCATCCATCCATCATCCATCCATCCATCCTCCATCCATCCATCCATCCATCCATCCATCCATCCTTCATCCTCCATCCATCCATCCATCCTCCATCCATCCATCCATCCATCCATCCATCCTCCATCCATCCATCCATCCATCCATCCATCATCATTATTATAGTTACTCTGATGATCTGAACCAGTTGCTTCAGGCACTGCAGGCTGTACAGTTAAAAAGAAAAAACATCAAAATAGGAACTGCAGAGATGTCAAACATCTCAGTTTGTTTCTCTTCAGTCAGCTGAGTCCCACCGACCTCTGCAACATTATAA